TACCCAATTCACATTTCTCTGGGTTGACTACTATTCCATTATCCGAAAGACGTTGGAATAATAGCGTAAGGTGTTGATAATGTTCATCTACGTTTGATGATGCGATCAGCAGGTCATCAATATAGACGTGAACAAAATCCAAGTCTCGTACTATGCTATCGATAAACCTTTGGAAAGTTTGAGCAGCATTCCGTAATCCAAATGGCATTCGTAGGAACTCAAACAGACCGAACGGAGTCGTGATAGCAGTTTTTTCGATGTCTTCAAGAGCGACTGGGATCTGGTGATATGCTCGTACCAGATCGATCTTAGAAAAGATAGTCGTGCCCTTGAGCGATGCCGTGATGTCGTGTATGTGGGGGATGGGGTAACTATCAAAGCGCGTAACTATGTTTAATGCTCGGTAGTCGCCGCATGGTCTCCAACTAACCCCATCCTTTTTGCGCACCATGTGTAAAGGAGAGGCCCAAGGACTGTGAGAAGGACGAATAATACCAGCAGAAAGTAAATTGTCAAACTCACGTTTAGCGAAGGCTAATTTGTCCGGTGCCAGTCGGCGTGGTCTTGCCGTGACTGGTGGTCCGCGGATGGCTATGTGGTGTACCACACGATTGGTCACCGATTTAATCTCCTCGAGTGGTTTAGTTATTCTGGGGAATTTCTCGAATAAAGCGTGGAATTTATCGTCACGCGAATAAAAAGTGCCGAGGATTCGATACGCGTACATCGGAGTCTATTATATTAATACTATTCTTATCGCTATCCGTCATGTCAAATATATTATATATTAAAAATTACTATGAAAATATATGACAGACGTGGATAGATAAAACAATAGACTCACCGAATTGCCTTCTTTAAAAGATTTGACCGAGGTTGAGGCGTGTTCCAAAATTTGGCTCACCAAATGTAGCGTGGTGTCGAGTTGAGCTTGACTAAGAACACCGCTACCAGACTACGTGCCAATAGACCAATAAGATTCCGGTAGGCCAAAAATCAGAAGGCAGATGATGGCTGTAGTCGAGATGTATTTGTTGGCAATCTCGTGGTATCGAAAGAATACCGAGATCGTGCCAAAAGATGTACAATCGTGGTTACTGAGCGTAACCGAATTCGTACAAGTTCAAAGTCAACGGGAGAGTAAGTATAATGGCTGTCATTAGCACAATTAAACAAACGAGCACAGTAAAACAGTCACTGGTACAATTGGTTATAATAATAATTGTTTTCATCGAACCAATCGCGTCCTGTTGACAAAAGTAGGTCACTACAGATCAACCACAACATCGTAGGCATATTCACTCTATATCCTTTCTGAGGTTCTAAGATTCTAAAGTCCTCGTGAAACTTCCTTGAATTTTGTTTATCAATTGGCGTCTTTTTTGAATCCTATCCCTGGTGCTTGATTTTATTACCTCTTCTTTTCTGAGATTTGCTCCAACAATTCCATCTTGTAGAGGTCGTCAATATAGAGACATGAACCTGTGTCACATATGTCGGGCTCTGCATTGAATTTGACCGATATTTGTAAACACTTATTGATGGATTCACTCCCAGTGTATAGTATGTCTGTCCATACATTAGAGAGTTAGTACCACCTCTTGAATTGACATAATGAGCATAACTGTGAATCAAAGTCCTGAATTCGTAAAACGTTACATGTGACAAGTTTAAAGCCAACATAAGAAAAATCATATGTCAGAGTTGGTTTAAAAAAATTAGTATTATTTAGCTATTTAGCTGTTGTTTTAGCTCTACAGAGACTTATATCAGGCAGAGAGATGGTGAAGTAGGTGTCATGTGCATTGATGATTATACAGACTCCTTATTTTTTATACGTATGTAGTGGAAAGCAAATATTTTAGAAATGATAGAAGAACTTGTCCATTTGATGATGACTGTGTTTTCAAGCGATACTCAGCTTCAACATTCTATAACAGATAACAACTTATTTTATAAGGCATGTGAATTGCCTAATTAACGTTTCGTTTACTTAACAGTTTATTTCAATTATAAAACGGGTTAAGATTTATGATGTCACACAGTTATATAATTCAAAATCTTCAAATTTCCGGAGAAAAAATATTTTTAGATTCTTTAATTATAACTGCGAATTCAGAGGTTTGTTGAGTATTTATAGATAACCTCCTCATATTGGAATAAGAGAACCAGTAACCTTTATAAAGTGCATACCTCATAACTTACAAGTGCTGCTCAACGTTCAGTCTAGCTGACTGCCTTGATATTAGATATATTCCACACAGAAAATACGTATATGAATATGAACAGTGTCCACAGAATATGTATGTAGCAGTTTATTGTTATAAAATCATACAACACGAACTGACAAAAGCAAATAAAGTGACTAAAACGATAGACTCTACAAATACAATCATTGAATAAATTGTAACGTCGGCCATGATAAACTATAACAGTGACAGTTGCGACGGTTGCTAAAAACTTCAAATTAGTTTACAGAATTATGTGACAAAAAACAATTAAAAGAAACAGATAGAAATTGGATCAGTCCATAATTGACAGGTGCGACTCGATTCATTATCATCGACATAATAAAAAGTACATGATTAACGATAAAAGTTTTAAATGTCATAATGCACATGAATTGCAAGACTTTAAATAGATGAGTGTAGTAGAATCGCCACCATAATATACACGAGATATTTCATCAAAGGTTTTCCATAATTTTTGCATAACTCTCCAACTGTATAATTGCGCAAAATTTCGACTCAATTTTGTGTAAGATAACGATTGACTGTCAGCAACCCTTAGTCTCAGATTAGTTAAATCATCGTATTCGGCGGTGATGCAACTGCAGTCACTTGATGAAAATCTTGCGGTTAATTTTCTCTAAGATGCCTGTTTTATCTTTTTGGAAGACAAGAGTATAGAATTTTTTAGGCCAGGGAACTCTTTATCGTCATCACGCACTATGCTCACAGTCAGGCTAGTGACCAATCTCACGACTTTTACACACTGAATGATGAACGATAATCAAAGCTTAATCGCTTGGCGTTCATACAGCTACTTTCTTACCCAAAAGCCAGTCAGTGACGATGATAGAAGGCATACTGATTATCCATTGCTCTTAATTCGATTATGACTAATAGATCATACAATGATGTGAAGCAAATATCTGACCAGATACTATGTCAAATAGATGGCCTTATTTTAAGCACAACTGTGACATGTATGACAGAGGAGCAAACTCTACATAGTCAATCGGCAATGATCAGGAAATAGTAAAATGTATAACAACAGAAAATATGTCAACCCGAAGCTTAGAATAAATTGGATAAAGAAGTGTACCGGTGAATTGCAACATTCATTTCTGATGTAAGGATATAAAAATAACAATTCGGAAGGTAGCGCCCAGAGTTTCAGATTACTAATATCTGTTCAATTATAACAACGTTAAAACTGCACATTGTTAGTCATTTATTTTTTTTGTATGGATGGTTGTGAACTAAATCGCACTTTTCGATTACCAACCCATTTGGTTTCAACATGTTTTTTTGCAATGTGTTCACGTTGACAAGTTAATTTACAACTTACATCATGAGTTATTCTTGTATCAGAATTTACAAAGGTAAGGAAGAAACTTTTAATGTATCTTGGGATGTCGTTTTTCACACCGAAATTTCAACATGAAAAGTGCACGTGAATAGGAGACCGAGCATCATAGTAGACTGATAAATTCTTTACATTAATTTCTCATTACAAAGTTTTGCCGATTAGGAATGTTTTTCAGTTTATTTTCTGTGTCAGCTGTCACAAAGAAAATCAATTTCGCGCCATTCGTCTGCATAAAAACACATATATCAGAAGTTGACCAAATATACATATGATGATTATTATTTGAAATAACGCAGTTTAACAAATAAGTAATAGATGAGCACTAAAGAACGTAATGTATTTGGAATTTGAAATCGGGCAGACATTATGTACAAAGGAATCACTGGTTCATACAAACACTACAATACTTCGAACATTGTGATGATCAACTAATATTCTTAAACATTGTTCTTTAGGTGAGTTTTAGAAATTTTTTCAGAATGCTTCCATTTTTTGAGATGCTAAACTGCAGTTCTATTAGTCACTATGTGTTCAGTAATGTTAACCATATTCAGCATCCGTTTACACGCGTTTTCAATCAATCAATAATTTGTCTAGGACTAGACACACATAGATTGTCCATCATTTTTAATATACAAATGTCTGATGGGGTTCGATTCTCAGTTTTCTGCCTCACTTAGCATTTGGCCCGAAATATTTTATCCACCTCGATAGATGTTTTGCAGGTTTTCAGGATATTATTCGACAGTTTGTGGTGACTTATAAAAGCAAGTTTACTCACTGTAGCTTCTCGAGACTTCAATGAAACAGGACTGTCCATGGTTTTCCTCGTTTAGTCCGTAGGTCGGTGACTTAACATTGTTAAAAGTCTCATGCATCTTAATGGAAATAATATGATAGAAGCAGAACCCGTGGTAACTCAATTATTGTTTAGGATGGTGACAGATGACTTATAACCTAGCTAGTGTGGTCTCTTTCTATTTGGGTAAGGGTATTTCGAGGCATACGGCAGAAAAGCACGGGCGAGTAGGTCGACTCACGTCCGCAGAAATCATCAGTTTTCTCATTGCGTATTTGTTAAGTGGGCCTGCTAGAAAGAATAATTGTATTTGCAGTAAACTGACTAGTCGAAATAACGATTGTGCACAAAAAATTTCGAAAAGTATAGAATTATCACTAACTATCTGGCTCTTAACCATGAAAGATAAAATTTTATTCTACTGAGTTAACGAAAATTGATTCACCTGGATTTTTTATGATCTATCAATTTATGATGGCGACCATAGTAACAGATGTAACAAGTTGACCTCGACCTTCACAGAGAACTAACAAGGCCAGACATCAGCATCCTCAGACTTTCCTGGTCAACATTTTAAATTTTAGCTTTGGAATCTTTTTCACTACTAATGACATCAAATGCCACAGTAACAAACAATTCAACGACTGACAGAGTTGTAAAAAGTAATTGAGTGACTTTCCTATAATGTGTATTTGTACGTAATAAAATTTCGTAACCCTAGCGGCTTAAACTAGTGGCTAACAACGCTACTCACACTTGAATTTTTGATTTATATACATGTATATATATGTATATATATATATTGCTTTTTCTGAGTTATAACTCCGAAATTTCTCGTCTGAGGATAATAGACATGTTTTCACTTCAGACCCGTTCTCGGATTGTTCTTTACAATTCTTGTTCTTACCCTTCAGATATTCGAAATAAAGATAATATCAAGTAATTAGTTATTATTATTCATCCTCTTAGTACCATGAGAAATATGGTAAGTTTCAGTCGCCACTTATGGGATTGGTCTTTAGGTATCAGAAATAAATGAGAACCATTCTGAAAACAAAGTTATAGGCGTTTTTTATTATATTTTTATGTTCTATGAAGAACAAGTGATCGTTGTTTGCTGCATTACATCCCACTAGATTCTAGGTAATATTCAGAATCTAGTATCATTGTAATATCTATAGCATTAATTACCGGGCACATGTTTCTTTTTTATTTAATAACACAACGTTTGGAAAATCAAATTTAATAAGTATAGGAGGTATTAAGCCTCTTTATTTCGAGAAACTATAACTATTTTAGTGGATACATAATAGATCTGTTGTTGTTTTTAAATTTATTCTCGAAATATTTAGGTTAGGTTGTTTTATTTGTTTATATCTGGTGTTTATAAACTCCAAGTACTACCTGTTATTACTCCAGTCACCGCATTATCTAAGGTTTTCAAGAAACTCCTCTGTTGTCTCTCCTGTTCATCATATAGAGGTATTGGTAAAAAACTCCGTTTATTTTACAATTTTATGGAATTAATCCTTTTCCTGTAGAATTTCTGATTTGCCTAAAATATCCAGATGAAAATCTTACTGGACTGAAATGCTAGATCTTGGCGATGTTTACAAAATTCTGGAAATTCGTTGTATTTGGATCCAATGTAATTCTGATGTAAAAAATTTCAATAGTTTATAGTATGTAGTACATGTATCTATATTCAAAGATTTGGCAAAGATTGAAAACATGTATTTCCATATACGACAGAACACCTTGCGTGTTCTCGGCATGTCGGATAAGCATGTCGCATTGTTTGAACAGCATGATGACGGTCAGTATTTTAGACAGCTGTTAGTATATTTGTACCTCAATAACTAATATTGTTCACTCTGTCTTTGGTGTGTACGTTAAAGTCTCACTTTACTACACACTTTTTAATCAACCCATGCATGATCTCTATTCTGAAGGAAATACTGATGAATAGGCAACCTGTTTAGACCCTTAATTTATAGACCACCGTATACAAGATAAGTTTTAAGTTTTAAAAAGCTGTTCCTTACAGTGCTTGCATACCAAAGTAGTTGTATAAACCATTTTTCTCTAGGGCCTTAAATGATTTGCTAGTGACTGGTTTTAAATCAGGGCTTTTAACTTCCTGATTTCTACCTGTTATTTGTTGAACCATTTTATTCCTATAATTTCGCATTCTTACTTTTATGGGAACATCAGTACCGTGTGTAAGTAATCTGTACGACCTACCAACGATCTTTAAGTGTGCATCTTTACGGGAGCTATAGGGATGGAAAAACGTCCTCTTCATCGAAAATTCAGTAATCTGTGTCATCTACTGTTTTCCGTAACCAAGTCAACTTTTGTAAGTTTTAAGGTCGGTCTTTTTGTCATATTCAAGTTTTTAAACTCATTTACAGGGGTATATATTTAGGATTTATTGAACTTCTGCTTTATTTCTGGTAATGCAGTTTACTAAAAACCCACCATATTTCTAATTTTAGTGTATATAAGCCATCTTTAACAAGATACTCATGTTACATATAATGATAACTACAGGATACATAACTCATAAATTTATATTTAAGATTTTATACAACCGGTTCCTGTTTACAACCTAATTAACCACTTAGAATATCCATCAAAACCCTCTTTACTAATCCACTATTGTGTCTACAAAATACTTCCCAATCGGTAAACTCGTAGATTTTTGTCTAGGTGGTGTATTACTTCGGAATTATTTGGCGGAAATTGAGAATGATTTGTTCACAACTGTAGCGGAAAAATCATCAGCTGTTCATTTCGTTTTTTAAGGTTGCTTCAAGACTGGCCTGTGGTAACACCTGAATTGAGAATGGGAAGCAAAGTAGTCGAACGCGTAGATAACTTCACTTATTTCGGAAGTCTGATCAGCCCTAATGGGTTGGTGTTCTACGAAATCTCTGCACAGGTTCAAAAACTAGTTTGCTTTTACCACCTTACGTCGCCTATGGCGAAGGCGAGATATTCATCTATCAATTAAAGAACGAGTATACTGCGCGACAGTCCGTTCTGTTTTACTTTACGGCTGCGAAACGTGGCCATTAAGAGTAGCGGATAGTCGTAAGTTACTAGTATTTGATCACAGATGTCTTGAAAATATTGCTCGTATCTGCTGGGATCACCGGGTAAGCAATAGTGGGGTTAGATGCAGGGTATTAGGGAATTATGGTAAATCAGTTGATGAGGTTGTGACTCTTCACTGATTGAGATAGTTGGACCACATATTACGCATGCCCAACTACCGACTACCATGGTGAGCAATGCTGACTAGTGTTGGAGACGATTGGAAGGAAGTCAGGGGCGGCCAAATCAAAACGTGGCATCAGTCCATAAAGTCATCAACTTCTGGTCTGAGTCATGTTGGCAGATACAGACTACTTGTTTGGGGTTCACGCGATTATCGTAACCAATAGTTGGAGACTCTGGATGACATGGCTCAGAATTGATTACAATGACGTAGGTGTATGCACTCTTTGCCTCCCTTTAAACCGCGAGACCAAAATTACTTTATGCCTTTCTTTCCACGAACTAATTCTTCCTCCCTGTATCATACCGTTATATGAAATGTTTTTTTGCTACCGTTGTAGTAACTGCTTCTATGAATTTGGTGATCATCTTCTTGTGTTAATGAGGTTTGGCAACTTGAACCGGTGCATATATGTGCCAAACTCTACTGGGTGTCTAAGTTCCTTTGTTGAGCTCACAGGTTAACAGAGTCACCTTGAAAGCTTATGATTTTGAAAAAATGACGCAATAGTTCGTAAATGTTTAAAAGCTAAATGGTGAGTTAGCTACTGTCAGTCGCATGGTAATAATTAGTTGACTAGTATTCATTTACGTAGGGTAATTTAGTTAGCGTTAGTAGATCACTCGTTCTTAAGCTCACAAAAATCAAACTTTGGGGTTTATTTTTTCAGATTTCAAAAGCAATACACGCAAATTATTTTGATATTTGACTGGATTATCCAAAATTACGTTCAACAAAGCTATATTTTACTGTCTTCAAATTGTAGAGGAAATAAATTTTATGCCATACTCACGTCTGTTACCCCTTGTAGGGGAGCATAGGCCGCCCATCAGTATTCTCCATCAAACTCTGGCCTGAGCGATCCTTTAGAGTTGTTTCCAGTCTCTATTCATCCGTTTGATTTCTGCTTCCGATTCTCGATGCAGTGTGTTCCTTGGTCTTCCTCTTTTCTGTTCCCTTTCAGGATTCCAAGTTAGCGCTTGCCTCGTGATGCAGTTTAATAATTTCCACAATGCATATCTTATCCACTTCCAAAGTCTTCCCAATTTCCTCTTCAACTGGAAGTCGGTTTGTTCTTTCCCACAGTAGGTTATTACTGATGGTATCCGGCCAACGGATATTGAGTATCTTGCGCAGACAGTTGTTTATAAATACTTTTACCCTTTTGATAATGGTTGTAGTAGTTCTCCAAGTTCCAGCTCCGTTGAGTAGAACTGTTTTGATGTTCGTATTAAGGATTCTGACTTTGATATTGGTTGACAGTTGTTTTGAGTTCCATGTATTAGAATTTCGGCTTTTGCTTTGCCAATCCTTACATTTACGTTTGTATCGGATCCTCCTTGTTCATCGATGATGCTTCCCAGGTACGTGAGAGACCCCATATCTTCCAGAGCTTCTCCATCAAGTGTGATTGGGTTGGTGTTCTCCGTGTTGTATTTGAGGACCTAACTTTTTCCTTTGTGCATGTTGAGGCCTACTGATGCAGAGGCTGCTGTTACACTAGTTATTTTCATCTGCATTTGTTCGTGTGTATGTGATACAAGGATCAGGTCATCTGCGAAGTCCAAATCTTCTGGTTGCATGCCAGTTGTCCATTGTATTCAGTGCTTATTCTGAAATATGGAGGTCTTCATAATCCAGTCAACCAACAGAGGAAAAAGAAAGGGAGATATTAAGCAGCTTTGTCTGACATCAATGTTCACCTGGAAGGTATTTGTGAGCTGGCCTACATGCACGACTTTGCAGTGTAGTCCGTCGTATAAATTTCGTATGATGTTGATGATTTTGTCAGTTACATTATAGTGTCGAAAAAGGTTCCTTAAGGTGTTCCTATCCATGCTATCAAACACCTTCTTATAGTCAAGGAAGCTGATGTATAGTAATGAGTTCCTTTTAATTGATTGTTCAACAATGATGCGTAGTATCATAATTTGGTCTGTGCACGACTGATCCTTATGGAATTTAGCCTGTTGATGTCGAAGCTGAGCGTGTGTTGAATCTTTCGTCCGGTTCAGCAACAGTCTGGCACCGGTAGTAGTGTGATTCCTCTGTAGTTCTCACATTTGCTCCGGTCTTTCTTTGGTATCTTGATGAGATATCCTTCCTTCCAGTGCGTCAGTGGTACTTGTTCTTCCTCCCAAATCTTCTTGAATAGAACGTGGAGCATCTTTGCAGTTACTTCTGTCTGACTTCAGTGCTTTAGCTGATATGTTGTCTGGTGCTGCTGTTTTCCCACACTTGATTTGTCTAATGGCCATGATGATTTCTTCGATAGTTTGTGAAATGGCATCTATAGGAAAATCTGTAGGTGCTGCTTCGATGGAGCCGGCCTATTCAATAGTCCTTCAAAGTGCTTTACCCATCTGCTCTATTGCTTTTCGATTTCACTGATTGGCTTGCCTTCTTTGTTCTTGACTGGTCTCTCTGGTTTACTATATTACCCTGATAATTTCTTCGTCGCGTCATATAGGTGTTTCTTATTTCCTTCTCTTGCAGCCTTTTCCTCTGTCGTTGCTAGCTCCACGTATTTCTGCTTGCCGGTTCTAATGCTCTTCTTCACTTGTTTGTTTGCTTCTGTGTATTCGGCCTGTGCCTTGACTTGCTAAGTTCTTGTTCGACTGTTGTCTAATGCTGTCTTATTCTTCCTTTCTTGAATCTTGGTCAGGGTTTCGATAGAGATCGGTTCCTTATGATGATGCTTCTTGCGGTCCGTCTCGTCCTAGTACGTTGAAGTTAATACTTCTTTGATACCTTTCCAATTCTCCTCCATATTAGTTTCTTCTTCTTTGAGTAGGTCTTATGAGGCTTGGAACCTGTTGTTGAGAGTTATCTTGAATTCGTCGAGTTTGTTATTATCCCGTAGGAAGGCTGTATTGAACCCTTGTAATACTGCTTCCCCAGCTGTCTAGTGTTTCTTTAGCTTCACTTTCATCTTGGTCACAACCAGGTAATGATCTGAAGCCGTGTTAGCTCCTGCCCTGGTTCTCATGTCTTCCATTGACCTTCTGAATTTTTCACTGATACGAATATGGTCTATCTGGTTCTCCGTGGTGTGATCCGGGGGAACCCATGTAGCTCTGTGTATGCGTTTGTGTAGGAATATTGTGCCGCCTATAATCAAATTTACAAACCTCTCCCCATTTCCGTTTCTCTCTCCCAATCTATGCTGTGCCATGATACCTTCTGGTGTTATCCATTCCGACTTTGGCGTTTAGATCTCCCATCAGGATGATCAGGTCCTTTACTGGTCAGTTCGCTATGATCGATTGCAGTCTCACGTAGAACTGATCTTTATCGTCGTCGTTCCTATCCTTGGATAACATTAATTGTGATTCTCATTTTCTTTGTTTCGGAAATGTTTTGGTGATCCTAGGTCTATGGGATTCCCATCCTATATGTGCCTTACATGCTTCTTTGGACAGCATCAGATCAACTCCCTGAGTGTGTAGAGGATTTTCTTCGTGATTAACTCCAAATCCACCATATGTGTCGAGATTGCTGAACTGTTTTCTGCTAGTTGATGTTCATGCTTCATTTTGTTATGTATTTTATTCTGATGGAATTACAAACCATATCGTTTCGATCGTTATGAAGGATTCCAGGGTTTAGAGTTATTGTATGAAAATAAGTGGTCTGCAACAGCTTAATGCTATTTAGCAACAGATATTTTCAAATCACCTCAATAATAACTCAAACTCAAGAGCATTACTTGCGATTCCCGGAACACAGTCGTAATAATTATCTTCTGATTTACTTTCTACATATAGGTATCCCTCATCCTCCCACTCACCGTTTGACACTTGAAGAAGTCTTTGATAGTAAAGGAGAACCTCGGATTAAAGAATTGAGGCAACATTTTATACTCGAAGGTCGAGTTACAGAACAAGTTGCCCTAAGGATTATTCGTTCTGGTGCAGCGTTATTACGAGATGAAAATACAGTTTTGGATATTGATGCCCCTGTCACCGGTAAGTCGGCGTTTGCTTCTAATCTGTTGATAAATAGATACTTTTATTCGCCAATGTACGTGAGATTTTTTTGTGTTGTTATTCTCTAGTACGATGGCTTCAAGAATTTTTAAATCTACCTTTCGACAAATTCCCATTAATTTTATCATTTATCTGTAGATATTGTACAATTTACTCAAATACCCAGATATGATAAGATTTGTAATGGATTATTACATAAAGCTTTATTACGTATATTGCTTTTGTTTATAAAATTTTCATAGATGTCCTGTTAAAACATTAATTGTATTTGAAAAAGATGTTTGAAAATAGCCGATAAGCAACATCAAACATATTTTCAGATTGCAAGTAGCAGTGGAATCTAGGACGGATCCTATTTCTGTTTAACAGAATAATGATTGTTTACATTCTATAGCTTCATGGATAACTCTTTGGCCTTTGAAGTGACAGGTACTGGTAATGAGTTCCATTGTAATCATCGACACTGGGGTGGATGTATATCCAGTAGATGAATTCCAAATATGATCCAACTCGTGTCCTAGTTATTGCTTCTGGAATTATCCAAATTTTGAATGCGATGCTGTGACATCCGTTTAAGATATATTTATGCCAAGGGAGGCTGGTTAAACACAGTCCTGAATATTTAAAGAGAGATTGTACAAACATTTTCAAGTCTAAACACAGGTCTATTTGTTGCAATAGATGTATGGGGTTTGTTCTATGAGTTTTATGAAGTTCGGATGACTAGATTACATTATTGTATACTGAGAGATAACTTGTCACTAAAATGACGTAGTACTAAAATAGACGGGGTTTCATACTGGGTATTTTAAAGCACTTAATTAGTAGTTCTAAACCTAGTATTTCTCTTTAATGGTTCCCCGACTATCATCTAATTTAACGTGATGGGACTGTTCATCTCTGTGAAACTGATTCATTTTTCCAGATTTTTCATCGAAGTGTGAGGAATGTGAGAATATCCTTAGTTCATATACCTTAAGCATCACAAATTATCATGATTTCATTTTCATCTACTTGGCTAGCATACTTGGTTATCAAATCTATGTTCCCATTATGAACCTTAGATCTGCAAATTTTAGATCCAACTACTATTTCAATTTTTCGTCGATTTAAGTATGGGAATATCTGTGAAAATCAACACTTCTCTAATTTTTATTTTTTGAAAAAAACCAGGTGGTTCTTTATGACTATTGAGTATTTTCATGTGACCTATTTATATGGTAGCAAGAGTAATACTTATAATCCATTTCTGGATTATTTTCATTTTATAGTAATAAATATAGTCAAGATGTATATTACTTTTTAGTGTATCTTATTTAACCAATTTTTTTTCTCACTACTGTATACACCAACTCATTAGGTAAAATACAAACACCTGTTTAGTCCATATGCTCTTATTGCACATTATATCCATCCATATGATTAGGATTTTTTTGTTGTTAATTCTAATGTTATACCATGTGCACGTGATTTAACAACCGCAATTTTACTTCCACATAAATTCATGTTTAAAGAATTGTACTAAATAATATTAAAAATATCCTTTTACCTACTATTAATAACTTGCGTACTATACCAGTCAGTATTATTGGTATATAGATAGTGACAGTGATCTTTGCTTATATGCTTATTGATGTGTATAGAAATTCTTATTTATCAGTAATTAAGTGTCTGGTGGAATAACAATGCACTTAATCGAATTGCTAGAGAAAGTTTATTAAAATATGGATTCATAAAAATGTAAGGTAGGATTTGAAATATCAGTTTTTATTTTTGGTGTCTGTGATCATTTTATTCGCTACTAACCATAAGTTACCTGTTAGTTATGTCTATAGCTAGGTGTCTTTTATGATTTTGACCACTTGAAGGGTTTTTTTTCGTATTATAGAGGCACATTTAACTCACATATTTAGCACATAGTTTTATCCTGGGGTTTGTTATATTTTAAGGGGATAAAAGATAAAATACGCATTTAGCTTTTTCGTGGATAGTAAACGAAATTGATGTCAAGTGATCCCTAGTTTTGTAGTTGTCTGACTGGGGTCAGTTCGTGGCGTAAACCACATATTGTTTAGTTCAAAAACAGTTTTCAATCTGCACCAGTATAAACTTATTGCTATTGTTCCTGTTTATTACTTGAATTCGTCCTGTTATGTTATCACTATTTGCTACAATTTTTATTTTCTAGTCTGTGGAGATATTCATGGACAATTTTTCGATTTGATGAAATTATTTGAGGTTGGGGGAGATCCCGCAACAACTAGATACCTTTTCCTTGGAGATTATGTGGATAGAGGATATTTTAGTATTGAGGTAAGATGAATTTTTTTGAAAACGAACTTTGTTATTATATTGCTCTGTCTTTCTATCATGCTGCTATTTTTTCCTTTTGAATGAGTTTATTTATTCTGCTGCTGTGTAGTCTATAGTTTATTATTTTTTGCATGAACCTAGTTCATGTCTTCAATATACTTCACTTAATTGAGAGGTCGCATAAATCTTTTTAGGTTGGTGTCTAAAGAAATCTCGTCACAGATTCATAAAGCTTAGTTGGCCTTTATCAACTTACATCACTTTTGACGCAGGCGCAAATTCATTCACTCTCTATCTTCCTCAACATCTCCACTCCATGTATTCCTTCATACTTACCTTGTCGTTGTGATTTTCGGATCCATGTTTTCAATGTTCAGTATTTCTCATCTAATTGTTCCTACATTATTTCGATTCCCTTAATATTGGTATTTTTAAATTCATCCCATCGTACCAATGAAGTATAGGAACTTGAGTTAACACACATTTTTGTGAACAGTCTGAATTGTTATTCGTATTTTTATGATTGTTTTAATTACCTAGTAGTGGTATTTTTATGTTTCATCTAAACAGAGTAAATAAATAAACTGTGAACTTTTTCTTTGAAATTTTTCTTTACACATTTTTTTCTAAAAACAACAACTTATGTTCTCAGTGACCTTTTTTCCTCGTCACATTCTGTTTTTTTTTTTCATTCAAATAACTTTGTTTACTACTAGTGATAAGCATTCAGTGATTTAGTTCATTACTTTATTTATATTTTTTTCTGTTTTTAAAATTACTATTTGAAGAAAATGATAAATTATATCAACATTACGATACCTTATTTAGTGATAAATATATATTCCGAAAATAATTACATGGTGTCTGCAGTCATGATCAAGTTGATATAATAAGGAAAGTAACATGTATTGGAATAGAAATAAGTTTACACTATTCGAAAAAACATAAGTCATAAGTTGTTTTGATAGAACAGTTGTCACACAGATTATAGTAAAATGAAGCATCAGTTGGGATCTATTATTTTCTCAGTGGATATATTAGGATGTTATGTTTAGGCATGAATAATATAGCGAAGAGTACTTTCAGTGCTGTTATAGAATATTTACAATCATCCGCAACTAAAGAGAAGAAAACAAAGATAGAGAGTATGAAGTAATAACAACAAAAATTATGATAAGAATGTCGTCATATATGTGCATGATTCATTTGTGACCCACTGGTTTCAGTAGATTGTATTTCAGTCAACCGTTTTGTATACATCCTCGCAATAACGGTGTAAATGATACAGGGATAATAAAATCTGTAGTCAGTCCGAAATAGTGTAAACGTAATATATTCACCTGAACGGAAATTTAATAAGTAAATTCTCACTCAACTCAATTCAGATATTGTTGCAATTTTTTTTTTACAAAAAAGATGTGTAAATATCATTATAAGCAGAGATAGATGGTGGCTAGCAGTACGATTCAGAACGCGCGTTTCGTCCTATTTAGAACTCGCCAGATGAATGTACCTGCATCCCAGAGTTGATGTTCACTCCAATAAAGTAATACCGAAGCAGTCCTCACAGCATGCTCATATGCCAATACGAGACTGATCAATTGCAGTACTAAACATCAATGGGAAGATTCAAACAACCAATGCAAAAACGTAAATAATAGTGTTCTGTATTTTGTGTATGTTAAGGTGGTCTTACTATTTTTTTAATATTCAATTTAATTAGTGCACTTATCGGTTTGTGGTGATTGTCTTTTATTATTACTGTTATTATTATCATTTGTCAGCATTTCCTTTATTTTCAAGGATTTACCTTTTATGGATCAGGAGTATTCATTTGTTATTAATGGTTAATAGTGGTTTGATTGAATTGAGATGATTATATACTGGTTTACTGACTTATCAAGTAACTAATATTTTGGAAAAACGAACTTCCTTCGTTTGTTTAACTAAAATTTATTTCACTAGTTAGGATCATGAGTCAATTCAAGCTAGACCACCATGGAAAACCTTGAAGCACTGGACGGCCATTTCGTCCTATTGTGGGACTCCTCAGTAGTGCGCATCCACGATCCCGCCTCACGAGATTTGATTGACTCATGATCTCAACTATTGAAATTACTATGATATCCCGAAGAATTCCTTCTGATACCAAAATCTATTTGTTTAGGTTAATGGTTGAAAATTTTAAATGTACCAGAAGTTGTTTAATTACTAAGCACCAATTCATTTTACATTACTATATTGTATACGTTTGAATGACTACGCTCCGTTTGCCTTGGTTTTTGGGAGTTCAACATTATTTCTAACTTGACCTTTAATACTAGGGTTAGTATTAATATTTACCAACAATGGATAAGATTTACTGACCAGGTATGTGCTTTTAATGATGTCGTGTTTTGTGAAGTAGATGGATTTGTTTAGAGTTATCGGATAAAGCGTAGTATTTTAAAACCCGATGATTTTTAATGAATGTTTTTGTAAAGGTTCATCTGTCACACGATATTTAAATTGACAGGATTGTTCTATGTCATCTACTTATTCTCCCATTAGTCGATATAATAACCATAAATATTACATAAAATATTCAGAACAAATGAAACATTTAAATGACTAAAATAACCAGTGGATTGAAAGTTTATATACACTTTGGTTTCTATACATATATTCTATCTTAATACTGTTCAGCTTATTTGATAAATTCTTCTTATGTGATTCAGTTACCTTTATTGCTTATTAATCATCAGCCACTTCACCCCACTCGACTAGTCAGAACTAATCAGAACACCTGAAGGTTCTTAACTCTTATTTGTAGCAAAAAAGTTACTGTTTATGTTTGCACTTACATAATAGTAAGAATCTGTTTCATTCATTTGAGTTATTTTCCATTTCTAGACCTCGTTTTTATTTTTTATTACATTGGTGTTTTGGTGTGAATAAATTAAGTGGTTTTTAGCACAAATTTCAAAAATGAATTTGGAATTGATTAATATTCACTTTAAATTATTTTTCATTTCACTTGTTTATCTGTCGACTTTTAACCACTGAATTGTATGTACTCTAAAACGTCACTTTACTGTACAACTAGGTCGTATCATTAGTAGCAGCTTCTGTGTAAACCATTTCTCTTAAACTGGTAGCTATGGCTTAGAGTGTTCGTTCTGGTCTACCTACTTCAGTTTAGACACCCGATTAGTATCGCTAAATCTCACATTTAGAGTGTGACGTGAAGCCAAGTGAAAATCTCGGTATCAAATACTTGTTTTCTATTTATTTGTGAAGGTTAGAAAAATTGTGAAGTAAATTTAATGATGAACACGAATAAACAGTAATGATAAGTAATAATAATAGTGATAATAGTAGTAAAAACATTAGTAATAATAACTTGGAAATAAAATATATCCGCTCATCGTAAATTCTCTGGTACTAATCCTATTCACTTTTCATCTGCTAACACGTACACATACAATTTAAATGAAAAGTTTCAGTACTGGACTGAATTGCCGGTTTTTTCTTCAGAAGATGTAAATAATTTTATTTCCTTTCTAAATTCGATTAACTGTTTAACAGTTGTATTATTTAAAGAATTTTCGTTCAACGTAGGAATTTGAGATCATTGACATCGATTTCTTTTTCCATTCTTTTAAAAGTGGATTTATATTCTTCAAGGTAATAATTAGCCCTCAGGCATTGACTTTAACAAAATAAATATTGAATTCACGAATTATCGGATACCTGTTTCATTAAAGTTCGACATTTTTTAACAGTGTTCACTTATGGATTACTACCTGCAAAAAGATTGAGCCAGAAGCTTTCATATCTCACGGTTAACGTTGATATATTTAAATCATTAATCTAACATAACCAATTATAATTTTGGTTATATGATACAATAATAGTATTTATTCTCATTTTTATTTGAGTGTAGGGTGTTTTCTATACAATAATTTACTCTAGATTCCATTTTTGATTGTTGGTTTTTCTTTGTTTAATTCCATTCTTTGAAGTTTTCTCTTCTTCTAAATTAAAAAAAAACAAAATATCACCGTTCAATAAATCAGTTAAATGCTACTTTTTTGAAGTCTAATATTTTCTATGCTCTTGTAATTGTTTAATTGTTTATAGGTAACTGTGTTGTCTACGTTTCATATCACTATATATATATATATATATATATATATATATATATATATATATATATATATATATATATATATATATATATATATATATATATATATATATATATATATATATATATATATATATATATATATATATATATATATAGTAGTTTACATTTTAATCTGATATGATTATATCAGTAAAATTTACCATAATTTAATGACACTTTGTATTTTCTTATTATGAGATTTCTCAATAAATATTTACGAAGAACAATAGATTCAGCTTTTTGGTTTTTTTATTTTAGAAAGTGATTGATTGTATTTAAAAGAAACACAGATAATATTATTGATTGCATTGATTCATGTGTGAAATGTGTTAGGGGGTGATCTGTTTTTTGCGTATAAACAACGAGCCGGAATTTAGGAAATTTTCTGCAATACTCTATTAGTTACAAGGTGTTTGAATCTCTTGAGTACATTTATAAATGCGGTCGGTTACACTTAAATAGTCCTAGACATTCTGAAATTGTAACTTGACATTTTTGACGGTGAATGTTAGCTAATGTAAAAGAAAGTTGAAAGAGGTCAAACCAAAGTATGACACTAGTCTGTAAAGTGATTGGCTGTTGATCTGAGTCATATAGATGGATGCCGACTGTGGGATAACTGCGATGAGTTGTTGGAAACTTTGGGTATCATGAGTCAAAATCGGTCACAATAGCTCAGATGAATTTACACTTTACATTCCTCTAGATTTTTAGCCCTAGTTTGGAACAAGATAATGGACAGAAGGCTTATAATTGTGAGAAATCACAAAGCATTTGTATATTATGTATACATAGTATTTGATCATCCATTTGAATCCTGCGGTATGTT